TTGTTAGTTGTTTAGTTAAGGAAAGCTTTTTCAGGTGGAAGGAATAGGAATGCATACACAAAACTATAATCATTATTTTATTTACTAAACATGGGAGCACTCATATTTTTATAAACGGAGACAAAGATTTTAAAAAATCTAAATAAATAGTGAACTCATTCAGAAATGGGACTTTTCTTGAGACACAAAGCTTGGCATTGTTCCTAAATTCAGTATTGGTTCTGGACGCCCAGGAGCTGGTATGGCCAGATATCCGTTTGTCCATTTTGGCGGGTGTTCCAGCTGATATCCCTTTCTGGAAAGATAAATTGATTTACAATCTACATTACAACTATCTCACATCTTACGTGTTGGCCTTCCATTCATTTCCATGTCCAATCCAAAATGCTTTATTTATTCTAAAGTGTAAAGTTAGCATATCTGAGAGATTGTTTCCTCCCGTATAAATTTATTCATATTGGCACCGAACCAGATTATGTAGAGGGTGTGGACCACATAAAAACGACCCACATTTTAAAGCGTTTTACTACAAAGCCAAGGGTAGTACCACCCAATTTTTTTCACTGTCAACCCAATTCTTGCTGGCAGGAAACATAGATCTGGTTTCCTTGTTGCCATTTGTGAGGCAGCTGCTGACAACCAATTGATTTTTCATTCTTAAAGGCAGCAGGAAACTAGCAATCTGCAATGAATCCACGAATGGAAGGAGAAAGATTACTTTGGAACTTTGCTTAGGATTGCAAGGAAGGACAAAGGGTAAAATCTCAGCCACAGGCTGTCAAGCCATAGATGCATTTGAATGGATAGAGTTGCAACCCGCTATCATGTGGCTCTCTCCCTGTCCTATGCCCTCCATCCCTGCTAATACTCCAGAGATTTCTCAAGACCTGGTTATGTCACCAGGCTTGGGGATCCCAGGCAACTGATACTATCTTAAGATGGCTCCATTATTGACACATTCATTCTCTAGGTGTCCTTTTGCTCTTTAATATATTTCAGTGTTAATAATTATTGATTTATATATTTACAATGACAGTATTTTGATTGTTGTTTTTATTTGACTGCTTTTTGCCACCCAGAGACACTTCCAAGGACATGGATGGTAAAATTGATAATAAACAAACAAACAAATAAACAAATGCCTTGTAGGATTTAAATGATTCTTCACTTACCTGAAATAGAATTCACAGAGACCTACTTACTGCCTCCCATCTGTGTGAGAATTTTCAATAGAATAAATATTTGCAGTATAACGAATTGAAAATATAAAACTTCTAAGTAGGAAATCCGCAGAATTAGGATGGAATAACTATAATTTCATTTCAGGGACATTGCTATCCTCGATGAGTATGGCTACTGCAAGATTGTAGGTCGCTGCAAAGACATGATCATTCGAGGAGGGGAGAACATATATCCAGTAGAGCTTGAACAATTTCTACACACGCATCCTAAAATTCAAGAGGTTCAGGTGAGAAGGACAGTGAGAAAAGCCATCACACTTGGCTACTTGTCTAGATATTTAGCATCTAAAATTACATCCTGTAATAGGCACCATATATGTCCTTCAGAGAAACAGTGGAGTCAGGTAAGTCTCAAGAAAAGAAACCTAATCAATAGTCCTCTGAAGCTCAATGTCTCCCTCCATCTATTCAGGTAGTCGGTGTAAAAGATGAGCGATTTGGAGAAGAAATCTGTGCTTCCATCAGAGTGAAAGCTGGAGAGAAATGCACGGCAGATGAAATCAAGGCATTTTGCAAAGGAAAGGTAAGGACAATTAGAGGGATGGATCTGAACTGTCTTCCTCCTCTATTCCTTACCCTTGCAACTAAAGCAAGAGAGAGATCAAATCTCAGACGGAATCAGTTGTTAAGATAGGAACCCTAACTCAATGGCAAAACAGGTGTTCTGTGTCCCCAATCCAGTCCCCACTATCTCCTCCAAGGTTTTGAAAATGCTCGATGCTATGGAAAGCATCTGCTAATTAACTTCAATCATAGTAGCAAGATGGTTGGAGCAGCTCTGAAATAGAAGGGATGCCAAAAGATTCTCATCTCCTTAGAAGTATGAGAGCGTGAGACTAGCCCTGCTAGATCAAATCTGGGTCTATCTGGCAAACCTTTGTCTCACATGATACCTTACCAGATACATGCAAGAAAACCACAAATAGGCTAGCAAAGTAGCCCTCCTCCCCTATCATTGCTCCATATAGGCAATTGTTCCTGTGCCTGGAAATATCACAACTCATTGATAGATGCTCTCCCAGGAATTTATATAGCTTCCTTGTGAAGCTACCTAAATTAGAGCCAATCTATCGTGTGGCAGCATATTCCAATGGTTGATAACACACTGCATAAAATAACATTCATTCTTACTAGTTTTTCTAGTGAGTTTCATTAGGTGGCAACTATGGGAGAGACAAAACAGTCTTCCTGTTTGCTGTTTCCTTACAATACTTAATTTTATAAACCTGAATTATATTTCCTCTCTAAATTAAGTAGCTCCTACAATTGCATTTTATTTTCATAGGTTGTTGTCCAAGCTCTCTGATCAATTTGGTTGCTCTTTCTTGCACTGTCTCTAACTTCATGATATCCATCTTGAAGACATCCTCACATATTAAAAGCCAGTTCCACAGGTCTCTGCTTCACTGAGGAGTCTTTCTGTACTTTTTGAAGATGCAGTCGGAAGTGGTAGTACAAAAGACCTTCCACCTCGTAGTGCTCCCTCATGTTGCATCTGCTTGGTTTCCAGAATAAGGGTAGCATACTCCCAACTGTTCTCTCTCACACACTGAGCAGTTGTGAGGCAATCCAAGCACAAACTGATGTTAAGCATCAACTGCTATTCCAACAACATTTGGTTGAGGGCTTACTTCAGAAATAACCTACTAACCAACCCCAGTTTGGGGGACCATGAGTTTCTCATGAACGCCTCCCTAGGGGAGGAGAAATGGATGTTCAACAAACAGTAAAACTTCATTCAAGTTGCCACCAAGACTTGCTTATGGCATTGGGGCTCTGTAAGATGTGTGAAACCGCATGGGCTGTAGCAAGAATATTGGTAAGAAGCTCTATCAGCCATGATTGCTGAGCTTTCACAGAAGTTTGAGAAAAGTTTACTAAGAACCAGTCTCTTAGTCACATGGAATAACAGGCAAGCCAAAACAGATTCTGACTTTCTGAGTTTTTTTTTTAAATCACAGATTGCTCATTTCAAGATTCCTCGATACGTAGTGTTTGTGGAGGATTACCCACTCACTGTCTCAGGCAAGGTGAGTAAAGACCTTCCTTTTTGTTGCCCAGCACTCGGCTGAGTATGGTAGGACATATCTCTGTCTCAACATGCTTAATTCTTGAATTTGACGCAAGGCAACAATAGAGGAAAGTGAGAGAACTACAAGCAGTGATCCACAGGTAAATATAGTAATAGGGTTAATTTCAGGGAAAGTAAGCTACAGTATGAAGGAGTTTGAAATCCATGAAAAGGTTGGCTTGAAGAGTGATTGGAAAGAAGCACAAGAGACGAGGACTTTATTTGTGTATTGGAAAAGGCACATCTGTCTATTTGAAGCATGTGGAGCCACAAGGGAGAAAAACAAAGGAAGCAGAAACAGGTGAAGACGGAGGAACAAAGTTTATAGGCAAATATGAAAGGATAAAATGGAAGAGAGCCTAAAGAGTTTTGAAATAAAAACTGAAGACCACTAGAGGTGAGGAAGCCATTGAAGGAATATAAAATTAGGAGTCATCTGTCCAGATTGACAAATATGATATATCAGTGCCAGAATGTTGAGTTACTGTGATGGCTACCAAGATCAGAAATGGGAAATATATGGAGGCCTGGAAGTTGGGGGTCCTATTTGTGTTCAAAGAACAGGTGTAAAACAGGAAGAACTCTTTGTTGCCATCTGCTGGTGAACTGGGTCATTTAGATTTGGTAGTCTTAATGAAATCTGTTTTGTGCAACAGAGTAGCTGATATAGTTATCAGTGGTCCTCAGCAAGCAAACAGTTATCTGCGTCTGTTTGGAATGACTCAGAATTTGTAATCTAGTCTGACCTATCCCTCTTAGATCATAGAATAATACAGTTGGAAGGGGCCTTGGAGGTCTTAGATAGAACATAGAGCCTGCCCCTGTCACATGGTTCAGACTGTCCCCTCCAGGGATGGGTTGGGAGGTATGTTGAAACAAATACATGTGCCTGACAGTTCCCAACACTGTTTAAGGCTCGAGCCGTGTGTGAAGTAGCAGTAGAGCTTTCACTCAGCCTCAGTGCAGATGACACTTTGAATCCAATGCAATAGTTAATATGGTAGTGATGGTGAAGAGATAGGATGACAGCCTTTCTGGTGTTTAGAATCAATCAAGAGCTTAGCTATTGCTTTAAAATGTTGCCACTATTTCAATCAATGGTACTGATAGGGGAGAATTACACACTACAGGTACTCCAGCCAAGACTGAAAAGGGCTGTCATTGTTCACCTACTTCCAAGAGTGTCTGATTTGGGTCAGAGTTGAAGACTGATAAGAATAATGTACAAAGAGAGAAGTCTTGAAAAGAAATACATGAATATTTGTTTTGATATGTAAATCTTTCATTATATGTGTCCTCTTTTATTCCATCCTTGGTGTTGCCGATGTAGATTCAAAAATACAAACTGAGACAGCGGATGGAGAAACATCTTCAACTTGCATAGAAGGCAGGCAGCGTAAGAGATCTCCAAAAAAACATGCTGTCTGCCGCCTTCTTTTAGTTCCAAACATTTAAGAAGCTGGAAAGGATCACTGGCCTGCCTTAAGAAGCATCAAGTTCTACTGATTACCAAATCAAGCTTGCTTAAAATAGTATGCTTTTTTAAAAGTAAAAATTTAGAAAAATTAAAATGCAGTATTTCTTTAGTAGAGATAGCTTTGTGTAATGAACTCTTTTGGCAAGATCATAAGAAAGGATTGGTTCTTCTAGCTAATAGTGACCATGAGAATCTGTCCATATGATAAAACTCCACCAAATCACAGAGACCTCCATCCTGTTCATTCCTCACTTTGGGAGCAATGATTATCAGCCATCATGTTACGTAATAAAATGGGCAAGAGGTAAAATGAAAATGTAATGAATTATACATTTATAAATCTGTTCCTAACAACTTGTACAATTGAAATTTAAACTATAGATCTTCCCAATTACAGATGCAGCCAAGAGTCTTTCCCATGACAAAATGCCAGGCTCAGGAGGCAGACATTGAACTGTTTCATCCCTTAATGCTAATTAGAGGAAGTGTTTTCTGTTCCCAGTTCATATTAGAGCAATAAAATGCAAAGCAAAATGTTTTCAGACTAGATTTCTCAATTTTTTATTTCTCAATTAAAAAACAGATATTACAGAAATGTCAAACTTTCCAATGATATCAGAAATAAAAGTGCACCTGAATTGGCAAGCATTTTTTACGAGAGGATCAGGCACCTCCCAACCATGACACACTGAACTGCAGAGATTGATAAGAATTTTTCATTTTCTTCAGCTACAGTGCTCCACATCAGCTGAATTATTAATCTCTTTGTTTACAACACTGCTACTTGACTTCCATCTGTGTCTTACTCCAAATGAACTTTTTTCTTCTATTACTCAGCAGAATATTCCAAAAATGAAATAAATCTTTGAATTTTTAAGCTACCTTGTATACTTGTAGATCACCTTTATACTACAGCATACTATACATATGCTTTGTATTACAAATACTTAATCTTTAATATAAAAATATTTTATATTTTAAAAAATCTGCTTATACATACATATTTGTAGGATGTATGTATGTATAAATCTGCTTTATTTCTGTTGAAATAGAATTGGATTCCAAACATGAAAGTTCTTAATGGAACTGAGGTTTATTTATGTAGTGGGCTTTCTTGCACAAATGTTGCTCTGTTTAATAGAATGAAATTTCTTTGACAGTCCTGATTCCATTCTTAACTCTTCAGAGAAGAAATGTATGATGGCTCCTTATCAGAGGAAAATGCTGAATTCAAAATTAAGGTGGCTTTGCATTCCTTTTTGCTGAATTGTTCTTGGGAGAACCATCAGACAGAAGGTATTCAGCTGTACAATAAACAGTTGGAGAAGACCAGCAAAATGAAAGGAATTGGAGCATGTATGCTCATGATATTACTGTATAATATCTACACTTTGGTTCTTCAGCTGGGAGTGGGCTCTACCCATGGGAGCAGAATGTTACTAGTGAGATCCAAAAGAATCACTTTGCATCTAAAATACAAAATAGACAGTATATGAAGAAATCACACCTTTTGTGATAGTAGCACATTAAAAAAAATAACTTTTAATATCTTAACCAGTGCATTTTATGAAGGTTAATATAATATTGTTATTAAACATATAACATTTCTGAACTATTTAATATTTACTTACCAGAGAGGATGCTTTTCTAGTACATTCTGCAGCAATAAAAACGGTGTGGTTCCTTGACAAGGCAGGCATATTATAGCAGGAAACACAGGTAGGAAAGAGAGTATATTCCTACAAAAAAAATCCAGACAAATTAAATTATAATGAAATAAATGCATATGCACAGAGACATATAGAGTTATAGGAGATACAGATATAAATATTTATTTGGTTCATAAAATATGGACACCAAAACACTTCTAATATTGAATGGGTAAATTGTTTTTCTGGCTGACCTTCCCAATTTGGTGCTTTTTAAAATATTGGCCATTAGCTCTGGTGATTAGATGGGTAAGAACAAGGTTAGTTGGGTTTTAGCCAGCAATACTTGATGCCATTGCTGAATTAATCCATATTCTGGCTCTCAATATGTGTGCTACCTCTAAGTTACAAATTCATTAATTTTCACCCCTTTTAAATCCCTTTAAAGCACTTAACATTATTACTTAAAACATTAAACTTAACAATCCCTTTAAAACTACATAGCATATATAAATCAGATTCTGCATGGTTTCCCTTTTTAATTTCATTAAATTTTTCAAAAAAAAGGACATATTAATCTACTCATTCAAACAGTAAAACAATCCTAATCACTAAAGTTAATTCCATTTCAGCTCTCCTCCTATATCATTTCATTTATTTCAGTATATTTAATACACATACTCCATTAATTATTCCATTCATATTTAAACAAAAAAAACCAACATTCCAATCTTAAAAATATTTCAATATATCTAATATGCTTATTCCATTATTTGTTACAATTATCTCTATGCACAAAGAAGAGCATTACATTCCATTATCGAAAAATAACAATTCTGTTTTTCCATCTTATCAATCTATATGTCCCTATTTCATAACTAAAAATTTATATTACCCCTCAATACCTTGCAGAATCCCCTTTCTAAATAATAATCACCCATTATCTCTTTCTTTTAATCACTATATTAAATGTGTTTATCCCAGAGTTTCTCAAACTGCAGTACTCCAACAAGTCAGCATGAGTTTGCACAGCAAGTCAGCATGAGGAGCTAAGCCTGAAGTGAGTATAAATGGTGTTCACATTTCCTGTGCAGGCCTGATCTGATTTTTATAATTTTGTGATCCTATTCTCTTAAGTAGCTGGCGATTCAGCACAGATCACAAGCTTCAGTCTAAGGTAGGTAAACAATAAAAAAAAACGATGCTGACAATTTTACAGGATATGTCACCTTTCATATGGGAAATCAAGCAGCATGCCTCTTTTTTGATTTCCACAATTTTGTAAGGTAGGTTGGGATGAGACATGGCTGAAGTAAAATTAGCTAGTTCACACTGCACTACAGCAGGCTTAATATTAAATTAAATCCAACTCTCCCCCCAAATTAAACTCCCTCCTTCCATCCAAGAAAAACTTCTGGTGCTGCTCCCATTCATCACACGTCCACTTGTACATCACTGCAGCCTTCACCAGTCACCTTCCCTTTACAAATTGATAATGATTTTGAAACTTACCTGAAGAAACAGGATAGAAATCCCCTGGATAACTTATATACTGTGTAGAAATTGTCTGACTCGCTGCTCCTGTGGTTCTGGTTCTTCCCGTTGCAGCATCCTCTTTTATAACCCTCGTCCAGAAAAAAGAGAATCTCCAGTCTCCCCTAAATCAGCACGATTTCAATATGTGTCAGCAATTAGTCACTCCTGTATGTCAAATCAGATCTCATCTTGCAGGAATGCCTTTATTTCCAAATATATGACAAGTTTACATCCTAAAAAAACACAAAGATTTTTCTCAAGTTTATTCCATATAAGGTCATATACACTTCCTATTCTCTGCAATGGAATGGTGTCTGCTCTCGATGTGGTTATGGTAGCCATTGGGTGACACAGAGGACAGGAAGGATTTACACACGATCCATATTTTCTCTTCCTCATTTTAGGTTTATGCAGAAAGCACCCTTGAGAATGAGAATATTGTGGGGCTTTCATGAATACTGAGAACAACGGAGTGCTAATTCATCAAAAGTTCTCTCTAGCTTTGAGCTGTAGATTCAATTCTACAATACTATAAAAAGTTATTAGCATCTCAACCCTTACTATGGTGCTTCAGACGTACTTCATAAAAGGTGCTCTGGGACATTAACGTAAGACCTATCTGCCTTGCTTTAAAGCAGCCTCATCCATTCTTGGGAACAGCAACGGAATCCTAGGAAGAAACACAGCTGCTTTAAAAAGCTGTAGAATTGGAATAGAATCCAAAGCTCTGCACAGCCCTATTACAGAGAACATCAGAGCTAGGGCCCTTTGCAAGGGCTTGGGAAGAAGGATGTGAAAAATATCAAGATGGCAAGATGACCTTGCAATCAAAACCTGTATCTAAAAAAACAGGTGAGGTTTCCATCTCCTGGCAGCAATCATCACCTTGACTTTTGTTAACATCTTCTGCAGACTTACCCAACATTTTTGTTTATATCAAGACAGCAATTAGAACATTACATGGATGTGTGGTTCTTCCTTATAGTACTTCCTATACCTGTGAGACAAACATGTCATAGAAATCTCTTTTTTCTACCACATTTACATTTCCTTTGGGCCATTCCCAGCCTGTATCTCAGGCTGCTTAAAACTGTGCTTAGCTGTTTCACTTCTGAAATAGTGTTTCCTCTTATCCCAATAGCAATGGTCCCTTTGTGTAGAGAGATGGGGAATTAGAAAAGCAGTTTCAAGCATCTGTTGGCAAACCTTGGACCCAATGAAGGAGTAGATTTGTTTAACTATTCATACTTGTCCTTTTAAGTTCAGGGACCAAACTTTAAAACCAACATATTAGTTTCCTTTGAACCTTTAGTCTGTTAAACTATTAAATCAAATTATTCATGAATAACTAGAAATAAGTCTCTTATCTTTAGCATACTTTCCAAAGAATACTACATCCCGGTTCAGAAAAAGCCCAGCAGGTAAGAGACACAGAAAGGTTGTTGCAAGCAGAGGCATCTCAGAGACTTAATGACTTGAGGGAACTTAATGAAGTTCCCTCAACTCCTGTTCATAATCCACCAACTTCAATGATGGTGAGACAGACACCTCTAAGTATCATCTCAATTTGTCCCATCCTGTTTTAAGAAGGGTGATTGTTGATTGCTTTCCTGCCAGCGGTGAAACCTCCTTACCTTAACTTAGCCTGCAATAAATAAGTAAAAATAGAACATATTTAAGCCAGGACATGGTCCCTAAAATTATGTGTAATGAATGTGAAAGGGACACCCCATAGCATTAAAACCTGGTTTAATGCAGAAATTCATGATGACAACAGCATAGGCATCCCAGGATTTCAGATATTTAGATCAGACAGAATTGAAGAGACATCAGGTAAAACAAAGGGTGGAGGATTATGTTTATATATCAACAACAGTGGTCCCAGGATATAACTATAATATATAAATTCTTTGATCTTTACATATCAACTGCAAGCCTTTTTATTCTCCACTTGAGTTCTCATTTCTCCTAAAGCTGTGTATGTTCCTCCACAAGCTTGTGTAAACAAGGCATTACGAAGCCAAACACCCAGATTCCCTTCCCATCATTTTAGGAGATTTCAATCAAGCAAATTTAAGGAAGGAGCTCCCAAAATATTTCCAGCATGTCAACTGTCCCACCAGAGGCAAAAATACTTTAGACCACTACTACACAACAGCAAAAGATGCTTATAGGTCTTTACCATGAGCACCTGTCTTCAGACGAAGACTTAAATCCATGAAACAACAATTAAATCAGTGAGGACTTGGACTGATGAGGCAAAGCTGAAGCTTCAGGCTTGCCTGGATTGCACTGATTGGAATATTTTTGAAAATACCTCTGCAGACCTAAATGAGCTCACAGATACTGTAACATCAAATGTCAGTTCTGCGATATGTATATATACACTTATGTGTACCAACAAGGAACCTGCAAATATATAGTAACAATAAACCTTGGTTCACAGCTAAACTTAAGCAGCTACGTCGTTCCAAAGAGGAAGCCTACAGAAAAGGTGACAGAATGTCATACAATCAGGCCAGAAATGTATTAACAAGAGAGTTCAGAGCAGCAAAAAGAAGCTACTCTGAAAAGTTAAGGAATCAGTTCTCAACAAATGAACCAGCAAACATGTGGAAAACTCTTAAAAACCTCACTGGCTACAGCAAACCTTCTTCCCAGGCAGAAGGAAATCAACAACTAGCAGATGACCTGAATGTGTTTTACTGCAGGTTTGAAAGGAAACTACAGCTACCTATCTCCACAACCCACATCTCAAACACACCAACAACAGCCAAGCCTCCTACAACTGACCCTAACCCATTGGGTTCGCAACCTCTGGTGATCACAGAAAAAGAAGTGCAAGATCTATTTCACGGACAAAAGCCTGGAAAAGCATCAGGGCCAGACAAGATAACTCCTTCTTGCTTAAATGTCTGTGCTGTCCAATTGGCCTGAATCTTCACCCGAATCTTCAATAAATCACTAGAGATGTGCTATGTTCCTTCTTGCTTCAAAAACTCTACTATCATCCCAGTGCCAAAGAAGCCCTCCATCGGGGAACTGAACAAACCAGTTACTCTAACATCTGTAGTTATGAAAACCTTTGAAAGGCTAGTGCTGTCCCACCTAAAAACCATCACGGATCCGCTGTTAAATCCCATTGCATACCGAGCAAATATATTGACAGATGATGCTGTTAATATGGCTCTGCACTGCATCCTACAACACCTTGAATCTCCAAATACCTATGCAAGGGTCTTCTTTGTAGACATCGATACCATTATTCCAGACATTCTTCTAACTAAACTAAACCAGCTAGCGGTATCTGAACACACTTGTAAGTGGATCATAAACTTCCTAACAGACAGGAAGCAGCAGGTGAGGCTAGGCAGAATCACACCCGATAACTGTACAATCAGCATAGGGCCCCCCCAAGGATGTGTGCTTTCTCCACTTCTCTTCTCCCTGTATACCAATGACTGCATCTCAAACGATCCATCTGTTAAAATACTGAAGTTTGCAGATGACACAACAGTGATTGGTCTCATTCGGGGACGACGATGAATCTGCATAGACAGGAGGTTGTGCAACTTGCCTTGTGGTGTAACCGGAACAATCTGGAACTGAACACACTCAAAACCATAGAAATGGTGGTAGGTTTTAGGAAAAACCCTCCCATACTACCACCTCTTACAATACTAGACAACACAGTATCAACAGTAGAGACCTTCAAATTTCTAGGTTCTATCATATCACAAGACCTAAAATGGGCACCTAACATCAAAAACGTCATCAAAAAAGCACAACAAAGAATGTTCTTTCTGCGCCAACTCAGAAAGCACAAACTGCCCAAGGAGCTGCTGATACAGTTCTACAGAGGAATTACTGAGTCTATCATCTGCACCTCTATAACTGTCTGGTTTGGTTCTGCAACCCAACAAGATAGACACAGACTCCAGAGGGTAATTAGGACTACAGAAAAAACAATTACTACCAACCTGCCTTCAATCGAGGACCTGTATACTGCATGAGTCAAAAAGAAGGCTGTGAAAATATTTATAGACCTCTCACATCCTGGACATAAACTGTTTCAACTCCTACCCTCAAAACGATGCTGTAGAGCACTGCACACCAGAACAACTAGACACAAGGAGTTTTTTCCCGAATGCCATCACTCTGCTAAACAAATAATTCCCTCAACACTGTTCAACTATTTACCAAGTGTACACTACTATTTCTGTTAATCTTCTCATCACTCCTTATCACCCATCCCCTCCCACTTGTGACTGTATGACTGTAACGTTGTCGCTTGTATCCTTATGATGTATATTGACTGTTTCTAATATGATTTGATTGCTTATTGTACCCTATGACTATTAAGTGTTGTACCTTATGATTCTTGACTCTTGACGAATGTATCTTTTCTTTTATGTACACTGAAAGCATTTGCACCAAGACAAATTCCTTGTGTGTCCAATCATACTTGGCCAATAAAGAATTCTATTCTGTTCTGTTCTATTCTACTCTACTCTACTCTATTTAACTACCGTAGCAGCCACACATTTAAAACATGTAACAGCATACCCTACTGCATTTTTGCTCTCAGAGTTCAGCTTCTATCTAGTCCACCATCTGGGTTTTTTTTCTTTTATCTTGATTATCGTTGACAAAAGCTCTTATATTAAATATTCTGATTTGGTGACAGTTCTATCAACCAGAAGTAATATACTTCGTTCAGCTGGTATCAGTTTATCAGTCGCCATCCAGTGCTTGGGTGGTGTAACTGTAAACTTGATTCAAGAGTTCACTTCTTTATACCAAAACATCAAGTCTGGTATCACCGTTTCTGACCTGTATATTTTATGAAAAGGTGCAAGTTTTCACCAGTTATAGCTCACTTCATCAGATGCACAGATGTCTTTTAATAAAATGTTAGTGAAAAAAAGTGGTATCATACATCTGATTTTTTTTGCCACTAGAGACTAATAGGACTCTCTTAATACCAAGAAATCTTAATCAAATTCAATACATTACTATAAAAGTCACCTTGTGACGAGATGGGCAGCCAACAAATTTAATAAATAAGGCTGTCACAAACATACCTTATAATCCACCTATTTTGACATATGCATGAAATAAAAACCATGGATGCGATTATTCAGACTTTTATTTTATACTATTACTGTTTTCTGTCTCTATTCCATGGTCAACTCACTGAATTCCCCATCAGTGAAAAGCAAGAAGTCTGAGCTGTTTACACTTGCTTTC